GGAGGGAGGGAGAGAGAGGTGGGAGAGAGAGAGAAAGAGTGAACAAAGGGGGGCCGGGCTGTTGGTTACAATTCATGAAAAGGAAAGGTTATCCTGTCGTTTAGTTTTCATGCATTCCAAAATATGTGAGGCAGCGTGGGGGAATCAGGCTCTCGTCAATTTTGGAGCATGTAGAGTTATTTGTATTATCTTAAAGCCTGTTCACTTGTCTTTATTGGGATGGGGGAAAAATCCATTTATCTTGAATACAAGTCGAGTTATTTGCGAATGAAGGAGGTTGGGGTCACCTGTTTTCAGAGGTAAAATTGGTGAGGAAATGGCCTCTAAAAATTTGTTATTTTTGTAACTTAAGAGTCAGCGGTAACTGAAAACTTACATTATTTGTGCCTTAAATCAACATTTTTAAGAAAACCCCACCCAGAAATGAGTTCTTTAATGGGCATGAACAGTGTTGAACCAAAACACAAAAATTTGAGAAAAATTCCCAAACCTGCAGAAAAATGCAAGTTTCTTCACTTTGATTATTTTGACGAGAGTCTGATTCCATCATGCTGCCTCACATATGGATTTGAATAAAGGAAACCTGCTGTTTAAGAAATGGAGAAGGCGGCCCATTGATTGGACCCGTGCTTATTCAACCTCATACCCCTGTACTAGTAGGAATAAATCTGTATTATTTCTTCTTCAGTGACTAAAAGAACAAGAGATCATGAAATTTAAAGGATTTTAGTGTGCTACGGTGTCACCTTTTCCCATTTTGGAACAACCTAGATCTAGTTTCATTACAAAATTATAAACCAATGTACAACATATTTTAAAAGCACAGAAAATTGAGGTAGCCAACCCGGTACCGGTACTAGACTCCAATATTGGGGGTAATTTGCCAACAATACAACAACAACAACCAACTTATTCAGATATCTAGATTCTATATTATTATCATAATGTTTCACATAATCGTCGGTCGAGGCAAGCTGGAAAATAATAAACGGGGGTATGGAACAAGGAACGGGAGGGGAGGAGGAGTGTGCAAAATAAC